GTAATCCGAGGCATAAAAAAACTCAAAATTTTTGGTTGAAAACCGATTTGGTCAAGAACAGAGACGTTCGAAAACCGAGGTTTGACTGTGCAATAAGTCTATCGTTGGAGGAACGGTAGGTTATTTTAAGATTGAAACATTGATAAGGGTAAAAGTGTATCTGCATTATGCCATTGTGAACTAAAGTGGGCCAGTCTGTGCCCTGAAACTCCAGGGTTGAAAATGAGTCCCGCTCCGACCCTGCCCAGCAATGATGTGAAGTCAGGTGGGCGCTCTAATTTAATTGCCTGTAGGTTTTAAGAGACTGTATGTAATAAGTAACTTAATACAACATAGAAAAGTCACTGATTGCTCAGTACAACAGAATTAAAAAAAAAAAAAGACTTAAATTACAAAGCGTTATTGATTCCAACAATACAAATAGTCACAGGTGCCTTAAAAGGGTGAGCAGCTTTAGTTTGAGTTTAGATTATTTATTCATTTTTAATACAACAGTAACTTCTCCTTCTACTTGTTTTACAATTTATTAAGTTCATGTTACTTACAACTGGCAATAGTTGACCACGGAACAATTCAATATTTTTACTGTGGGAATTGTTTTAAAATAGAAAAAAAAATGTCAAAGAACACATTGTGTTCCACTTTGGAAGTTCCAATGCAGTTTTACTGCCCAAGATATATATACAAGATAAATAATATAATAGTGAAGATGAAAAAAAAAAAAAACACGGGGGGTTGAAATGATCGTCTCTGAGCTGTGCGGGGTTTGGCTCTGACAAGTGTCTATATATACTCTGAAATGTAAGCAGATAGGACGTTGCTGAGGTCACTCTGACGCCTCTCTTTGCTTGCCTTCAGTCATCAGCTGCAAACTTCTTCACATTAATCTTGGCTTTGCTACTTGACAACTTGATCTCAAGAGCCACAGGTGTACCTGATCCAGCTATTGCTGCAACAGTTTCAACATAATGCAGCATATGTATTCGGCCCCACTCAAGTCTAGAATGTGCTTGTTATGAATGCAAGTAAATCAAACTGAATACAAACTCAAGTGCCAAGAGCTTGGAAAAGGGCAAAGCTTTGGTCGAGCGCACGTTAGATTACTGTTTGTTGCACACATTACAAGGATACCATCCATCCATCCATCCATCTATCCATCCATCCTGCAGTCACAGGGCTGATACTATGAAGACACGACCAAACGAGTGAGCGAATTTGCATAGTTGCACTCCTCCATTCAATTAGACTTCTCTCTATGGCCTCTGTTTTCATGCCCAGAAGCTGTCAAACTGTAAGTAGAAGCGGGCTCGACGACATTTTGATCTTTGCACAGACGCACGCAGCTTGGCGCATTAAAAACGGAGCATTTGCGCACACAGCTGACTCCGTTTGCCACCAATTGAAGCAGCTTCTCTCATGCCTTTTAAAATCAGCATGTGTGAGGTGCAGTCCTTGACATGGTGGAAGCAGAAAGTGTTTTGCTGCAGCCCATGCCTGAGGTCGAAGCGTGCAAAGGAACTGCAAATAGACCTCCGGGTGATGCACCTTTGGCAAAGGAGATCAAAGATCTGAGAAATGAGCCTCTGCCTTCCACCTTGATCATTCGTGTCAATGTATGAACACTACAACACCACATCCCAACACCTCACAGTTGTATGTGTGTGTGTGTGTGTGTGGGGGGGGGGGGGGACTAAAAAGGACCAATAGGCAGGTACATTTCAAAAAGCAGATTTATCAAAACGCTGTTAAGCCAGCAAAATGTAAGCAGCCGACAGGGCACTTCCAGTTGATACACTTATTTTGAAAATCATATTCCTTCCCTGGTGCACCACTTAATGGACTGATGCTAACTTACTATTCACGCACACTGCAAAACAAACTCACAAAACTCCACACTTGCAATACTCAGACTTGACTAGGTCACATAGTCTCTTTCTTGAGCCGCACGTAGCACTGTACAACTTGTCAAACAACATTATGTCAAGATTAATAGATGTTTAACGCATTTAAATGATAAAGATGAACACATTTCCTTAAACTTTAAATCACAGTACATGTATCATCATAGAAAGTTTTACAGGGTGGCAATGGGTGGCAGCTGCCACCTTTACCCAATGCTTTGCAACTCCAGGAATGAATGAATCTATCAATCGATTGATAAATCGATTTATAAAATTTGAAAAGTTTTGGTCTTACTGACCAAGATGTGCATGGACTTTTCCCAGGTCACATTTCACATGGAAATGTACTCTAAAGCTTACACCTCATGTACCCCCCTCCCCCCTCCCTCAAAATGTCCAAATTCAACAATGAAAGGTCTGCAAAACACCGAACGAATGAAAATACAAATCATTTAGTCAGTCGCTTGATCAGAAGCTTGTGAATCGTGGCACAAATCAATGCACAAAAGTACCAAAAATAATTAATGAGTGAAATTGAGGTGCTTCTGAGTGAGGGCCCTTGGAGCAGATATGGTTGAGTGAGCAAAGTGTTGTGTAAAAAAATATAAATACGTTAAATAAATAAATAAATACATTCAAAAAAAAGGGGAAACATTGGATGGAAACGCATTGCTGTAGCACTGAACAATTTGGGTGTCACATTGAGAAAGCAAAACAAAATACATTGCTTGGATACAAAGGTGGGAGAAAAAGAGGAAAAAAATAACTAAACAGCCAAAACATAAACTATCTGTCCCACTGGAGGGCAATGCCATTGCGATTAGTGATGTGACCATGTTATGTGAAAGTTATGTCATAGGTAAATTTATTCAAATATTAGATAGGAGATGTGGATAAGCTTTACAATTTTTTTTTTAATATTCTTGAAAGAAGGAACAACAACCATATGCAGCAAATACAGCATCCACAGCAATTGGTCAAAAAGCACTTTCTCGAGCTTCTCTTTTTCTACAAACTAAAGTTAGTAAGTCACGCCCTGTTATCTTCACTGAACATAACATGCGATGCTCTGTCTGACTTTTGTCTTCTCACATTCTCGGAAGATTTTCCCGTCTGACTTTGTCAACCTCTGACTTTAACAAACAGGTATGCCCCAATCACAAACCAAGTCAAACGGTCATTACTCACTTTTAAGCAAGTGTGACAGATACAGTTAGATGCGAATAAAGACAAATTATTGACGGTATTTTTCAATCACCATACTGTAGAACATTTTTGCACATTCATTGACAAATGTAATTTGGCAGCAAGGTGATGATGTGCTGCCTTCACAAGTGAAAATACAATGGATGCTTTTGCTTCCTTTATGAGGGCTTGCATGCACTTTCTATTTCTATATTTCTTTTTTTTTTTTTTTTTACTTGAGATACAAAAAGCAAAAGAAAATTAATCGAAGAGAGGTCTGACAAGCAGATTATTGGAGTGACAAATTGCTGCGCCAGCAACACTGACTCCCAAATGAAAGTTGGTGTAAATGTCAGCACATTCCAGGACAGTCACGATACTTGCCCGGTTTTACTACTGCAGTCAAACCTTGGTTTTCAAACATCTCTGTTCTCGACCAAAAATTTCGAGTTTTTTATGCCTCGGATGACGACCGAATTTCGGTTCTCGAACAAACTGAGCGCACTTGAATGCATCACTTGACTCCTCTCGCCTTCCTTACACGAGGAAGTGACGCTTCCTCGGGTAGACGAGGAAGTGACGCTTCCTTGTATAGCGTTCGATCTGTGCGATTGTGCACAGACGTGTTCAATAAACATTATTTTTTTAAAAAGAGCGTGGTTTCGGTTATCGAACAAATCGGTTTTCGAACAGCCTTCTGGAACGGAATACAGTAATCCCTCGTTTATCGGGGTTAATGGGGACCAAAACCACCCGCAATAAACGAAAATCCGCGAAGTAGCGACCAATTAACATAAACAGGTAAAATAATAATAATAATAATCATAAATATATATATATATTTTTTAAGTCTGCAAAGGGTCCGCGAGAAGCTGCAAAACAACAGCGAGTCACATAGAGCAACATATACAGTACTGTACTTAATGTACATTAAAAAAAAACAAAAAAACAAAAAAAAAAACTTTTTTTTAAAGTTTTTTTTATATGTTTGAAAAAATCCACGATGCACTGAACCCGCGATAAACGAACCGCGAAGTAGCGAGGGATCACTGTATGGTCGAAAACCGAGGTATGACTGTACTTTAAATTCCTGCCACAATAATCAGACGGTGATCAAAAGTAAAGACTGGGATGATGAGCGTGAATTAGATTACGATGGCTCGCTTGAATGGCAGTCTTCTTAATGCCTTCTTCGATCACATGTTCATCATATTTAATTTCAGGTTTATGCACATCCTTAAATGACCAAATGACATTTGATTCAACAGACACACAGCACTCACTCACTTAAAATATTTACTCTTTTAAGTGCAACTTAAATTAGGGTAACAGGAAGCACTGCTGAAGATGTTAAACTGCATTATCATTGTGATTAATTTTAGTCTATTTCACTTAAAAACATGAAAGGAAAACTGCATTTTGATGTGAAGATACAGTAGATATATGTGGGAATGCAATTATTTCAATAATGCTCAATTCATGGACTGGTCACAATTTTATCTTTTTTTTAAACATTTAACAGGCACATTTTGTTCTTCCATCTACATACAGAATATAAATGTGAGATCTTTATGTTGGTGAAGCATCTCTGTATTTCCTCGCAAAGTTAGGGGACATTCGCCGCACACGGCAAAGTGCCAATCAGTTGAAGTGGAGAGGGGCCAGAGGATTTCGGTTTCCAATCAAATGCTCTTTTTTGCTCATCCAAATTTTTAAAAAGTGGAACGTGGTCAAAAGAAGATTAAGGTTAAATACATTTTAAAAAGGTTGGTTTCAGTGGAATTTGATTTTCTTTCATGCATGCAAATATATCGCATGATGTAACGTTATGAACGTATGTATCCAAATATCCAATCCCAGTGCACTCTGACAGCAAGTGTTCATGTTTAAAAATCACACGTATGACACGGTTACCTGCCGTAGCAGTTCCCATAGACTGTGAAGGCTGATGGGCTACTTTGCTCTGCTTTTTCTGACCCACAATGTCCACGCACTCAGAGGCTCCGTGACCCTGATCCCCACCTGAGGAAACGTAAGGACACGTTGGACGTTGTTCCACAAAATGCAGCAAGGATGTGAAACAGCAACAATTCCAAAGTTTACACCAGATTGTTTCCTCCAAGTGAACAAAACGTACTAAAATATAAATTGTATTGCCATAGCACATATGAGATTAGTAATAAACTCATGACACAGAACGCGGAGGAAAATTTACAACAGCCCAAATTCATTAAAAAAAAAAATGTTACGGTTTTTGCTAGCTTGATGATCAATAATATTGTGGCTCTGAAAAATGAACAGCCAAATCAAGAGTGACCCATCATTTTGAATCCCGGCCCTAAGTTTAAGAAGCTTTCATTTTAACCAGGGGTGTCAAACTTATTTTTTGTCGCGGGCCACTACGGAGTTACGGCTTCCCTCGGAGGGCAAAATCTCAACGATATTTATTGACAATTTGACATTTCGGTACAGATTTCAGCAAGAATCATGATAGTTGACACACATGATTTTCTCCCGCGGGCCACATAAAATGACGTGGGGGGGCCGGATCTGGCCCCCAGGCCTTGAATTTGACACTTGGGATTTAGACGATTGCGAAGACCCACTTTTTCCATCGTTGTGTCTCTCACATCAGGCTCACATTGGCTCAGCACCAAATGAATGTCAATTTGACGACAGACAATGTACTTACGCCAAGCTCATATAATCAAATCAGGGGCAAAAATGCAATTATGGAGCTCAGGTTCAGATAACGGATCGGTCCCCATCTGGGAAAATGTTGCTAAACATGAAATCAAGGCTTGCACTCTGCCAACAGAACGAGAAATCATGTATGTTCACTCTTCAGGGTATGAGCTGCTACTTAGTTAGCGGTCTCTTGTCAGGCTAGGAAAAAAAAAAAACCAGGAACTTTTTGAAGATAATCCCTCATCATCAATCATTAGTGTCCTTCGTTAAGAAGACGTAACTAGGAGCTGAGGAAAGCGGGCAGCCAAAAGAATAACTATGAAATATGAGAGCAGTTAAGTTACTGTATGAGGTCCTCACCTTTGTTCTGAGCGGTCCGACCAATGGACAGATAGTACAGGGCTGCTGCTTGGGAGGCTGTGGCCCCAGAGTGTGAGAGGATAGCATGAGCACAGCCATCCAGAATGCCACAGATCAAGTTACAGAGCCGGTAAATATAGCAGACACCTCTGACCTCCGTGGGGCACTCAACACTCAGAAGCATTCCAATTTGCTTTGAAAGAACCAGCTTTACGCCTTGTTTAAGTTGAGCTAGACAAACAAACAAAGTTGCCCGCTTTGCTAAAGTCAGCAGTTCGCAGAAGACAAATATTCAAAAGGAAAAGTCAGCTCACAGGGGCCAAGTCATCTCTGGTTTGCGCCGGTAAATAATGCTGTGGTGCTGCAAATAGCAGAGCTGCTGCATTTGCACCGGACTCAGACTTCACACGGCTAAGTAAAATGCAATAACGCAGACAGAAGAGCGGACCCTCCAAAGTAGAGCACAACCCGGTTGGTTACGCTGGTTGACTTCCAAATCATTCGAAATCAAAACAAGTGCTGCCATACGAAAATGATGTTAAGTGAAGAAATGTACTGTACATAGGAATGATTTCACTGAGTTCATGCATCTCTCTCGCTCTCTGAAGTGCCTATAGAAAGGTGACGTGCCCATCACCATTAACCCCTTTCATGCACCCTGTAAACATGATAAGCTGTCCGCTGTAGTAACTGTTGTCCATGAAAGGGTTAATCTGACCTAAAAAGCTTTACAACTCAATTGAATTAAAATATATATATATATATATATATATATATATATATATATATATATATATA